TGATCCCGTTCGAAATCCCCAGCTGCTCCAACACACCCAGAAGCCCTGCAACGCCGAGACACCAAAACCCTCTCTCGAATCGTACCTTACCCCGAATGACACCTTCTACGTGCGCAACCATTTGTGGGTTCCAGAGTTGAACGAAAAGACCCACACCTTAACTGTGGAGCTACTAGACGGAACTGAAAAGCAATACACCCTCCACGATCTCAAAACCAAGTTTCAACCATTCACCATCACCGCGACCCTGCAATGTTCTGGGAACCGCCGGAAACACATGTCCGCTGGAGCAAGACCGGCGATTGGCCTCCAGTGGGACGTTGGTGCCATTTCAAATGCTCAGTGGACCGGTGTTCGCTTGAGGGACATTCTCCGCGACGCAGGATTTCCTGTCGATGATTGCGATGCGGAGGAAGCTAGGCACGTCCAATTTGTCGCCGCCGAGGCCTACGGTGCTTCGGTTCCCATAGAAAAGGCCCTCGATCCAAGAGGGGATGTCATGCTCGCATATGAGATGAATGGCAAACCCTTGCCACGAGATCATGGCTACCCCTTGCGAGTACTAGTGCCAGGTAACACGGCTGCGAGAAGTGTCAAATGGATTGAGAAGATCGTCCTTGCCGAAGAGGAGAGTCATTCACAGTGGCAGCGGCGGGACTATAAATGCTTCGGCCCCAATCAGACTGCAAAGGATGTGGACTGGTCGACTGCACCCGCTATTCAGGAGACGCCTGTGCAAAGCGCCATTACGTCGGTAATGGATATATCTTGGAGCTCTCGCCATGGTCGACCGTCATTGCAGAAACACGGTCTGGATGAAGATGCTGTCCAACTTAAAGGATATGCATATAGCGGAGGAGGCAAGAAGATTATTCGAGTCGACATCAGCGCCGATGGCGGGAAAATCTGGCAACAAGCGCATCTCCTTCCGGACGAGTCGAAAGGCCACAAAGCATGGTCGTGGAAACAGTGGGAGTCCGTGATGCCAAAGCGCCTCGTTGGACAGCAATTCGTCGTCAAAGCCGTCGACGAGAGCTACAATTCTCAAATAGAATCGTACGAGGCTCAGTTCAACTTTCGTGGCAATCTTACCACCGCTTGGCATAAGATTGACTACCCTCGCGCCGGTGATGGCCCTCGAAATGATGTCGAGGCTGAAAGAGGCCCTCGGGCATAGGCTTCTGAACACCATGCGACTCAATCAGGCATCGGCGAGTGTGACTGTGTTTGAAGGATAATTTCCACCAACTTCAGCGCTTTCTCTTCCTCAGTCCTACGAGTCATCAGTTGAAGACCAATAGGAGCTCCGTGGAACGCAAAGCTGTCGTCTGACACAGAAATTAGCCAGCAACTATGAACCTCAGATGGAAGGAGACTTGCAGGAATCATTCACAGATTCATCCTCTCTACTGAGGGGGACAAAGATATCGGGCTTGAGGTCCACATATCTATCGACGAATCCGGCTGGGAACGAGACTGCGGCAAAGTCGAGTAAGTTTACTATGGCACTGTATCCTGTTGTTGTAATTAGCGTTTTTCATACTGTTGTGTTCTCGTTGCTCACCGTAATATGTCAATTTGTTCTTGCAGCAAGCGGCGTCCGCACAGACGGGCATGATCACTCCGTCCACTGGGAGTTTGGTGATAGTACTTTGGCTGGTGGATTTCCAATACCTCTGATACTCTGTTTGATACATTTCTAGCGATTTCATAAGGGCCAGATACTCGGAAAGGGACAATGATTGAGTGGGTTGGTGGAAATACCAATCCCTCAGAGTAGGGACGGGCGGTTCTCCGCTTGATTTGATATGTTGCCTCGTGGCCTGCGCACCATCAGCGCCAATTATCTTAAAGTACGTCTCGACCAGAGCCGCATGAGATGGAGGCTCCCATTCAATGACCTGGTAGTTGGCTCGCCTCAAGCTCTGGATAATTGATCGTAGAGCCCGCCTAACGGGGGGTTGAGGCTGGATATGGCCGTCGCACTCTAGTACGGCAAAAGTTGGGCGCCTCAACGTCAACTCTCTGACTTTTGCTTCTCTCCACGGCATGTCGATCCAGGCAGGGTCTTCTTCAAATGCAGTAGACCCAAGCGACAGCCTTGCGATGTATTGCAGTAAGCTGAAACTCCAGGACATCATGGCAATTGTCGAGTTTCTGGAAGGGAGACTCGTCTCGCTGGAAGCGACTCCGAGGGATGGAAGGCGACCAGACGAAACTTTGAGGCTGAACAGACTGCTGAAAGCAGCGGGGATACGAGCTGAGCCCGCAAATTCAGTGGCCCAGCCGATGGGAGAGCCTTTCAATGCCAATAATGCTCCTTCACCTACAAGCAGTCAGAGTACAGGTCTCGGCCCATGTTCAAAGTCATTACGCATACCTCCTGCAGCGCCACCGCTGGATAAAAGTCTTGAATAAGGGTTAATGGTACGGCCGTGTATATTATTTGCTGTTTCTGCTAACATCATGCTTTGAGGCACATTCGTCTTACAGAAGGGGATTGCACCCAGCGCCCGCATATGTCGGACAATCAGAGATTCGGTGGCGTCCGTTTCCTTAGGCCCGAGCCAGGAGATAAAGCCGGCGGCTGTCTCTGTACCCGCGACACGAAAGCGGTCCATGAAGCTGACTGGTAAGCCATGCAGTGGGCCCCTCAGACCGCCTGTGTCACGATGATACTTGTCCAGCTGGCGCGCACTGTTGATGGCCTCTTCGAATAGCACTTCCGTCAGGCAGTTCACAAATTGATGACAAAGCGCAGCCCTGTGACAGTAAGCACGGACAACATCCTCGCAGCTCCAGATGCCAGCGTGGATGTGGGCTAAAGTGTCCATTGGGGGGGTTTCGGTGAAAGTGATTTCATCAGGCGATAGATACTTCGCTGGCAGGTCAAGGACAGATGGACTATCGTCTCCTAAAGGTATTTGATCAGGGGGAACGAGCCATGGAGAGGGGATTGCTTTCAGCACGGTCGCTCTTTTGGCGGCAGCCCGATTCTCCCACGCAATATGTGGCATTGGGAGGACGTATGAGGTCGTGCGATTGAATAATTGTAATCGGAAATGTAAGTCATTGGGAGTTGTACCTATCACCGAGGACCAATCGAAGATGATGGAAGCATAGAATGGACCTCTACTGTGCTCGCTCGGATAAGAGATACCGACTGCAGGGTCTGGCAGCTGGAGAGCCGCGGAGGGGCAGTAAGTTGGACTGAGAACCGCATGAAAGGAAAACTGGCTGAATGTGTCAGATCGTCTGAAAGGACCCTATAACTGATGTCATCTCAACGGCCACTGAAGCTTGATTCCACGTCCCAATGGGAATTGAACTTTTTCAAGAATAGATTGCTGTCTCTCTGCACGAGGTACCTTGTCCCTATTCCTGGCCCGGACGTGGATGGAGCAGCCACGATGCCTGAAGTTGCTGAGCCGCGGGATATTATTTTTCCAGAGGGGCTGTGATTGGCCCAGACGACGTCATTTCCTTCCAGGAACCGTATGGCAAGTCACGCTACGCTAATCGGTGACTCGGGCTTCAACCGACTTCCGAACATCAGCCAACGTTGTCCGGAAGGGGACCACGGTTGCCACGGTCCATGATCTGTTGCTCTGGAGCGAGATATATCTCACCGAGATTTGCCGGCACGCAGATGGGACTGACGAGTCTCCCAGTACTCAAACTTGACTGCCCACCCCCGAGACTAGAGAGTAGCATTATCAAAAGCCTCTGCCATGTTCTTCATCGTTCCTGAGAGAAAGAGTTCAAACCAACCTGCTAGTCCAAACTCGGACGACCCCTCGGCATCACCGCCACAGAGAAAGCGCCAGCGTTTGTCTCCCGAGGCAGAAGAGACATCCGGCTACTACCCTAAGCGGACACCAAAGGCCTGTGACCGATGTCGTCTAAAAAAGGCACGTTGCCAATGGAGTGCCGGGAAGATATGTGACAAATGCAAACGAGATGGCGTCATTTGCACAACAAACCGAGAATCGAAAAGGGAACCCAAACCACCGAACGCCGCGTACGTCCAGCTTGTCGAATCCCAGAGAGATTGCCTTCTCCGCGCGATCACAAAGATAGTTGAAGGAGGATTGTCTAATGATCCTGCCGCGATGGCCAATATGTTGCAGGAGTTGGGCATTCGGGTCCAAGATCTCAAGAGAGCGCCTCGAGAGGGTGTAATGGATGAGCCTTCTGTGAACTTGGACGACACCAATATATACGAAAACGCGGCCGAGATTCAAGCACTCCTAGAGGAATGGACCCCAGAAAATACAGGTACCGGAGAGCATCACCGTTTGTCGACACTGGTATCCCGCAATCTTGGAACGTCTCTGTCTTATTTCGATTCACAAACGCACACCGATACCCCGTCAGTCATGTCACAGACATTATCGAAAGCATCGGCGGACGCGACTTCAACACTGGACACGACGTTTTTGCCGTTAGTTGGAGCGGACGATTGGTTTGTGTTCGACGACTGCGCTGATAATTGGCCACTGCCTTTCGCAGAATCGTGCATGGACGGGGCTAGGAGCACAGTCGGAGCAGGATGAAACTGGCCGAGCCAAGTCGACAAAGATCGCCCCACGAGCGGTGAAAATGGGCAGCATCTTTCGTGATGTGAGAATCGAGCATTGACGGAGACGTTGCAGGGACATACAATGGGGTTAGGACGACCCAGATACGGCGAGCCAACATTCCGAAGTCAGGAACAAAGTGCTCATCAGTTGGGACCGCCTGTAACCTGATGAGAACCATGGAGCCGGCCCTGGGCCATTGTCTACCAATCCATGTGAGACGTCGCATAATCGGCGAATACCAACAGTAATGCCGGGATATGTTTGTCGCACAGACATGCCCATGGATACGGGCCATGTGCCGGTTCAGTTAACATGTTATTGGGATGGCGGAACGACTACCACCGGCTAAGGCTTCACGCTGCAAATAAACCAAACCCTCGATCCTAAGGATATTCAAACCTGGTCTTGAAATGGTCTATGGCTTTTGGTATTGGCGCAGGTACCTTGTGGTATGGATACATGGGATACAACATTATCTACGGTGGATTTGCGGATGACGAGCTACAACAAGAGACATCCTTTACGGCGGAAAGGATCTGGAACGCAAGTTTGCCCCTGTACGACGAGACACAGAATCTTTCACAGGACGATGTTCTTCTGCCCAAGATGGTAGATAGATCGCCAGGTCACCAAGAGTGCATCTCCAAGGCTTACGTGCAGAAGAGGAGGCTGGGATTCGCGGGGGCAAGGCTCGAGAGCCCTTCTTTCGGTGCTTGTATCATTGTACACTTTGTGTCTTTTGAAACTTGGGAACGACTTGCAGAGTATTAGTTTTCTTGTAATGTATGGACCATGACTGTGTTTGAAGCAGTAGTCCTCAGAAAGGAATATGCTTGCTTGCCTTGGAGGTGACCATTCTATGTAATCAGACCACGACGCTTTGGAAGGCAGGAGACAGGAGGTAGTAATACTCTGTCTCTTGGCCTATCCACATGCTGTTAGATATGTCACATCTGTGTCGGCAGCGGGTGTGGTTATGTCTAATATGTATCTATCTACCAGAAAAGATCTCCCCGCCCCGCCCCAGAAATAGGCGGGCCCATAGCGCGAATTCTGCACTAGACCGTGTTTGTCAAAATACATCCATGCATGCAACCAGGACATGAATTTCATCGCTTGAACGCAAATAATCGTTAGTATTTACTCGGCACGAGGGACATGATTTCTCTTCCTGTAGAGACAGAATGAGATGAGTCCGCATATCGATGATGCCAACACCTACAATGTGACCAAGCTGTTCAGCCATTCCTGCACTTTGCATTGTCAATCGTTCCTCGAGGACCGCTTTGGTCTCTTCTTTACCTCTCGCTCTCACCCTCTCTGTGTACCCCTCCAAAAGTTTCCTGCACAGCACACGACAAACCAAAATGTCCCCCTCAACAGCAGCTGCGGCGGCAGCAGCAGCGACCGCACCACCTCTACCTTTTTCCCTAGCGAATGAACTCAAGGCTCTCCGACACGAAAAGCGGAATCAAAATCTGTCGCGCCTGCCCGCGAACGCCACTATCCAACGACGCCCTCTGAACCACGCGCCCGTCGCGGACCTGCGCTCCTCGGGGACCAAGACGCCGAAAGTGGTCTACGTGTCGGCGCGCACGCCCGTGGTCGCGGCGATCAAGCGGGTCAAGAAGTACCTGGTGCACATTGAGCGGCGGGCACTCGAGGACGCTGGGGGTGGGTTCGCGTCGAGGAAACATGGACACGGAAAAGGGGGAGGACACCCCGCAAGGGCGGCCGAGAAGGCGAACGAGACACTCGCCCGCGACAAGGAGGAGGTGCTCGTCAAGGCGAGCGGGCGGGCAATGGGCCAGGCGCTGCGGGTGGGCGAGTGGTTCCGGAACAAGGAGAAGGACATGCTGTGTCGGGTTGAGGTCAGGACGGGGAATGTTAGCACGGTGGACGACATCGTCCAGCTTGACGACTTGGAGGAGGAAAAGGAGGAGGAAGACGAGCATGCCGAGCATGACGATCCAGGACAGAACGAGAAAAATGAAGATGTCGAAGAGGGTACGCTCGAAGAACCGGCCGAGCCTTCAACACTGCAATGCGGCGATACGACCCTGGAGTTATTGGGTGGTGTTGACGTGGCTACAAAGAGTTCCGGCGAGAACAAGAGCCAGTCAACACTGGCTGAGGCACAAATGGGAATGTCGGCGGCAGAACAAAGTGCAAATGATACAGCTATGCACGACTCCTTACCCAACCACAACCGGCGAAGGAGGAAGAAACGAAAGAGGCCAACGTACGAGGCAGAGAATCTCCCCGAAGCACGGATCAGGTGGATCAAGACGGTCGAAGTTGCAATATCTCTGCAAACTTGAATTTCTCAACAGACAAGACTGGTGGGAGGGTGGGAGGGACGGAGAATTGTTGATGCTATTATGGCTGAACAACATGGAATCAGCATACACCGGAATGGAATGTCTGTCAGTGTCAAGAACTTATATCCACTAAATCGACGGGTCTCTCTGTCGCTATAACTCTCAAATCCTCCACCGTCTTTTATGCAGCTTTCCCGAAAGGGGTCTCTCTTCTATCAGTGAAAGCCATGGGCCTGTCTCTGGATATTGCAGTTTCATGGCTTGAAACAAGGCGGGCCCCTTGAGATATTCGGCACTTGGAAACTTCAGAGGTTTCCACTGCTCCCGCATTGAACATGGTCGGGATCCAGGCCTTTATGCCGTCGCTGTATTCAGTATTGTCGCAGTCTACCCGTCACTTGAGGTGGTTGCTACATTCGATAGGGTGCGTGATGGCGCTCATGCCTCGACCGGGGCTGGCTTTCTGAAAGAAACCTTCTCCACAGCCACATTTTCATTTCCACTCTCATCCTTTCGCAGTTGATAGACATACAATACGAGGACATCTCCTTGGATCTAAGCCGGGGTCAGTGAGGAACCGCAAGGGAGTCTGTCATTGCTCCACGTACATCCATCAGGCAGAAACTGGGGACCGGGTCTTCATCAATGGACAACCAACTTGTACTGAATGCGCCCGTGGCGCTGCCAGGGTTGACGAAGAATTTCCCCTCAAGCTCGTATGCCTCGAACTTGTGCGTACCACCCCACAGCAAGATGTCAACGTCCATTTGGCGAGCGGCTATCAGCAACGCATCCGCATCTCCCTGCGGAATGATCGTATGACCGTGCGTGAACCCAATGCGAAGTCCTCCATGTTGTACCACTTTCGACAGGGCTAAATTGGATGCTTCCGTGTCGAAGTCGCCTTTCACGATGTGCAGATCTGGGGCAGTCTGCCGTAGAAAATCGTACGTCTCTTTGTCTGTGATGTTGCCTAAACACACAACCTGTCCAATCTTTCCCGGAGCAAGGAGTTTGCGGAACTGCGCCACGGAGAGTTAGAATTGCATGGTGTAGTCTAGAGCTTCGATTGGAGGAGGGTCAACCTTTTGCGGAATTTCCTATGAGTCAATGTGAGCTTGTTGCGCGGTGAAAAGACCATACAGGACGAATGCTTACCGGCGCTCGATCTGGGATGAAGAGGTCGCCAATGACCAACACCAACCTGGAGGCCATGCCTCTCTCCGCGGACTTATTCCTCGTAGCAGAAACGGCGCATGCCCACAAGATCAGCCTAGTTTCAGACCACGCATTGCTCACAAAACGAAATCAAGCTGAATGACGGGGAGGCGCAGGCAGTGGTGTTTGCACGGCGCCCGCAGAAGGTGTAGGCGAGGTTAACGGCGACTGGATAAGGAATGTTGAGCGAGGGCCAATCAGAATGTCCCGACGGAACTTGTCCGGTTGAGGCTGAGGCACGTCCAGATGGAAAACAAGCAACTCTAAGAGACGACGGTCGTCTCGTCGCATACCACATCAATGGACGCCTTCAGCTATTCTTGGAACCAGAGGCAGACTGCGGGCCTTTTGGTTCTACCAGGAACTTTCCCGCGCTCTATCAGAACACGAACTCCCTAGGCCATAGTATACCACCATTGCTGGTGTTGAGTGACTCTTGGGGTGGTGTAGACTTGTTCCATGACTCCTGCGCGAGGCTGACTCGCGCGGGCGGAACACCCTGGGCGACCTGTGGTTTCACGCCAGTTCATCAGCCTTTCCTTTTCTCTGCTAGTTGCTCAGGCATCTCTGTTCAGATCCTGGGAGTCAATTCGAAACGGGAGTCAGAGAGGCTCTAATCATTTGCCAAGCATCGGGATAAACCCTCCGCAACGGTCAGCGCGTTTGACCAGAAGAGGTTTGGTCAGCTAAACAGGTTTGCCAGGAGTATTCCCCCTCCTTCTCTGACTGCTAGTTGCCCGATTCCGTGAACTTCAGCTAGTTTGGGATTGATGCCTTTTACCTTTGGCTAGGGACCTTTGAACAACCTTTGCTTCTGCGTGTTCCCGTGCGTATCTTCATGGAGACTCTGCATCGAACTCTCATGTGGCCTGTCTTTTTGTTCCGCCGACCGCCGACCTGAGAAAAGCTGCTGAACAAGTCCCGGTCCAAACAGCACTGGACGCTCGGTTACATCGTTAGCCGGGCAAAAGGTTCTGGGGCCGCTCTCAATTCCCAGGAGACGTTCAAGGAAGAAGAGTTATGAGTTTTGGCGGGGAACGGCCATCCATCGATGCTCCTCCCTAAACCATTCGCTCGGCTGTGAGACGCATCCCAACATTTGACTCGACACGATCTGTCGACTGTCACTTTCTACGTGGCCTTTACTCTGCCCCATAGGCTTCTCTCACTTCTACCTCCCCTCATGCCTATCGGATGCTATGGGCAATACTGGTAGATCAAGTACAGGTTGTGCGCGCTGCAAGAAGCGAAAGATCAAGGCAAGAATTTCCTCGTCGAATATCGTGAGTTGTGACTGATTAGGCATAAGTGCGACGAAGGGAGACCGGGTTGCAGGAAATGCGCCCAGCTGCGCAAGCCGTGCCCTGGATATCCATACCAAGTCCATCTGCGAGTTCGGACACCACCAAAGGGCGAACCCTCGGATTCAGGCCCAAGAGATCAGAGACCCGGTCCCTCCATATTCCCGCTTCGCCCTGCCATTGCTGGAGAGAACCTCTTGACTTCATCGACTCCTGCTGCCAACAAATTTGCACCCGACAAAGTCAAGATCGAGGATGATGCAGGTGAATTGGCCTTGCGGAAATTACCAACGACTCGACGCTCCATCTCTCCCCCTTTGCGCTACGACATTCAACACCAGTCGCTGTGCTTTTTCCTCAATCTGTTCTGCTTCCAAGCAGGTCGGCTTTATTCGTTCCCCGTCCTCGACTTTTTACCGGGAATGCTTCAGAATGCCGATCCTCGCTCGTGCATTCACAAGGCTGCAATGGCAGTATCTCGAATGACTTTGGCCGATAGATACAGTGGAAAGGATGTCAGGCTACAGACTGGTCGAGAGTACGGCCATGCGCTGAGTTTGACCAACGCGACCATCCGTGACACAGCTGCAAGCATTCAAGATGAAACTGTCCTTGCTGTCTGGCTCCTTGGACTCTACGAGGTAAGTTCGAGGGATCGCGTGCTGGACACCATGCTAAAGCATACCCAGATGGTCAGCGTGGTGCTAATGCACGGTCGGACAACTCCCGAATCGCGATCGTTGGAGCAAGAGTGGCAGTCTCATCTATTGCACGTCAGGGGAGCCATGAACTTGTTGCGTCTACGAGGAATGTCGCAGTTTACGACGGCACGCGGGGAGAAAATCTTCCGAATTTTCAAAGCCGCCATTGTGGGTTATGCTCGTTCTTATTTTCTACCCTGCTGACAATCGCCAGCAAATGCGACTCTTCATATTGAACTCGGTTACCTCTAAGGATTTCGACAACCTAGAAATCGACGTCTACCAAGATGAGCATGAGTTTGTGCCGTCTCAAACCGCAAACAAGGCCACTTCATACTTCCACCGTGTTGCTCGACTTCTGGAGAAAATCAAGCATTTTCTGGGTCGAGGCCCTGGTCAGCTTGCCCTTAACAACACGACGGCTGATGTTTATTTGAAATACGGCGAAACCTTGGATGAAAGCATGGCTGGCTGGAGCAAAGACGAGCCAGGCTGGGATATGATGAGCGTACGTGCCACGACAGCCGGTACTATGTGGGCCCTCTACCCGACCCACGCTCTCTACCATTTCTACAGCTTTTGGGTTTTCTTATATTGGCTGCGATTCCTGGCTGCGCGGTACAAGCTGTATGAGGCTCTGATCGAACTTCTGAAGCTCCGCATGAACGCCGATCCAAGCGACCCCCAACAGTCCCCAACAACCGTTAATCTTCAGGTTTCCAAATATCGGGCGGTTATGCGAATGACTGCATCGGAACTTATCGGTCTGACAGCATACGCACTGGGCGATGTAACTCCTACTGGGGACTTCCATTCATCTGTATCTGGCCACCATCCCCAAAGGGGTTTCCAGGAGATCAACGTTGTTGCGGCTATGCAGCTGGTGCTGCCCCTCAAGATGTTGCAGCGATCAGAGCATCTCACGGCCACCCAACAGGGGGCGGTTGACCTTGCTATCTCTCACATTGGCGATGGCTTCCGGCGGCAACCGTTGATGTTAGTTTGATCTCGAAAGGGTATACATAAGCAGACGATCGCAAGTTTGTTCATCTTTCGAACACTTCATCCTTGCCGTTCTTCCGCTTGCCATGCAGCGAGGTAACAGGCCGTTCTAAGTTGTGATTCAGGTTGACATTATTGCACGGACCGACTGGGAAACTAATTCATCGCCGCTAGCGGTCTCACCAGAACACCATGGCTGGAAGTGCGCTTGAGCGGATCGACCGGGTTTCAGCGACCACACATGAAGACAAGCATGTCTCCTGTAAGATGTAGCACGTCCTGGCTCGCCCTACTTGCAGCTGACTCTCTCCCCAGCCTTCGAAACGCCATCACACCTCATACCGTTCCTGATGTCCGGGCGTCCATGAGATGATGAATATGACACATCAAGTCAGTGGTAGTCCTTTGTGTCTTCATCACGACACCATCAGCCGATACATGTCTACGTCAAAGCATCCAAGCTTCGAGCTAGCCTAGGTAAACGATCTCGCCTAGACTCGAATGGTATTTGAGGTGGGCCGTGCACTCTCCCAGATATGCACGATGGCCGGGCTTTCTTGACACTGGGACATATCTTGAAATGGAGGAAGGTCTTACCGCAGAGGATGCGAACGCATGCTAGGGACAATTCAGCACTGGAAATGGGTGTACCAATGGAGTACGGCCCTGCGTTTAATTATTGTAAGACTCGACCGAGGTAACATGTAACTATATGAAAAGACATGGTCAAGCACAGCCAAAACTGTGTGGACAAGAGTCTTTATGCTCCTACCTCGGCCCAAAGAGCCGAAGACTCTGTAAACGCGCGAGTAAGGCTCCGTTCGACAAGGCTGGAAATTCCAACTTGTGATTGGCCGAATGTCTAAACCTCGATGTCATTGTCTCCCCGTAGCCTGTATGAACTTAGACCTCACTCCTCAACCTGCGACCCGAAGGGTGTCATTTACTATTCCATCCCGGCCAATTTCTTTCTTTCCAACACGGTTTATTTTTAAAGATGGCAACTCTTCAAGGAGCCGGGATCCCCAGGGTCAAGCTGGAACCCGCGCCTGACCAAAACATTAAGATGGAGTCCATGGACGAAACACCTTCACCTTTCGTCGACGAAGATGATGACATGTATGAGGATGCCGGTGACCTCGATTTCTCACAGGCACAGCAACAACTATGGCTCAGTCATATTCCGCGAACATTATGGGAGACACTCTCTAAACTGCAAGATGAAGACGAGATCGAAATTGGGAGAATCAGGGTAGAAGGCGCAGAGTCAAATCCATCAAGAGTATGCTTGCCCTTTTCATGGTCTTGAGCAAATTACATGTGCACGCGAAACATGACTAACGACATGGCTCATAGGTCAGCATGCTGTTATACCCGCTGCCAGTGTTCGAGAACGAGCCTAAAGAATACAACCTCTTCAACCCGCCGCCTGAAAAACTACGATCACGGAGACCTGGACAAGCGTTGGTCTTCTCGGAGAAAGATCTACCAGGATACAAACCCCGTACGTTTGCATGGGACGATATCGATGAGGAAGGCAACCCGGGACAGGGCCGCTCATTCCTCTACGAGAGACACAAGCGCGAGCAAAAGAAAAAGGAAAACAAAGGGCGCTTCGTGCCCTACGCTCGACGACCTATACCAAAACAAACAGCCATCACGGGCACAATAGCAAAGGAGTTCGAGGCAGTACCGGTCAAGAACGATGAGTACTTTGTACTCGAGAACAAGCAGGCGGCAGAACTCCTCAAGATTCCGGAGCGAGAACAAGCCATCTTTGCCACTGGCGACTACGATCCAGAGAAGAACAGCAGATCGTTTATGACGATGAGCGAAAGACAAGCTGTCTTGAAGGTAAGCAGACCATGTCGAACCCGTGTTTGGGCCCGTGCTGCTTAGACGCGACTAACTCTTGGACTACAGAGCGCTCAGGCAAGGAAGCACGCGCAAAAGGAAACCCGTGCGGCGCGTGTGGACAAGCATGTCCTCATCG